TGTTATGCCACAGCGCCAGGCCCTAAAGTCATGCTTTAAAAATAATACAGTATCCTCTCACCAAAGTTCAGAGGTCAGATAGATTACCAGTGTGAAATCTGCTGTACGTTATTATTCTGCTCTATTCTAGTAGTGACCAGACTGTCAAAAATATTCGATTGCTAGTTACTTTCCCCTGCTTAAAACAAAACCCTAGGAACTAAACGTTTTTGAGTGGTAAGCAGAATTTCACTGTTTGTCACCTTTTAGTCCCTTCCTACTGTAGTCAAAGATGCAGAGTAAGTTTGGACTACTTTATTTTTTATTAAATCTAAAGAAGACTAATACTGGTCAGCAGTGCAATAATCAAGTCAAAAATGTCAGTTTCATGCCATAGGCCTAGAAAAAAGTGAAGCTTTTAAATACTTGACTGAAATGTATCTTTTCTCCCCCTTTAAATTCAAAAGAAATTATAAGACAACAGCTAACTTTGCCTTTGTCCTTTATATCCTGAATTTCCAACAATGTCTTAATCCAAAAAAAGGAAAAATTAAATAAAATCTCAAAATTGAAAATCATATAACAAGCTAAATCATACACATCTTGACTAAGGAATTAATACTGGAATATTATCCAAATAATAAAGTAGGCATATGCTCATATTATCACATTCCCTGCATCAGAAAAGAGGCATTATGCATCCATGTCTTAAGTTTATTTAGAAACATATCTAGTATGCTGTGAGTTCAAGAGTTTGATCCATTTTTCAGACAGATGGCACTTCTTGAAATGCTCTTTGTTATCTGTTAAGAGGATGACCTTAAACATCCTTATTTCTTAAGGAGTTGGTGCTGTACTATGGAGAAAGGTGCAGCAAATCCAGATCCAAAATACAAAGTCATCATAACTAGCAGCCTCCACTAATTCTTCCCTGGGCCCTCCTCATGGTGGCTCCTATGGGTTCACATCCTATGGTTGTGAACCTCTGGATGCTCTCTCCCAGCATAGCGATGTTGGAAGCTCTGTGTGAGGCACAGAGACAGACGGCGGAAGAAATGGTGGCACTACACCCAGCCTCGCTCCTTTCACGACCTTGTGTACAAGGTCCTTGTGTACAAGGACTGAATGAGCAGGACTAAGCATTTCAAATAGGCTAAGAGACAGATAAGGGGTAGAGGCAGAGGAAGAGGAAGAAAAGAGGAGAGAGAAGGAGAGAGGAGGGGAGAGAAGGGGAGGGGAGGGAAAGGAAGGGAAGGGCAGGGCAGGGCAGGGCAGGGCAGGGAAGGGAAGGGCAGGGAAGGGAAGGGAAGGGAAGAGAAGGGAAATGACAAGTGGAGAGGAGCAGAGAGGAGACGAGAGAAAACCAACAATGCCTGATGAACTGGTGACACCATCAAAGCTTCCATGGCTGTGAGTTAAAAAGGCAAACAACACAAATCTGTTGCAAACTGCCAAGGTCTTGTCTGACTGTGTGTCCTTGAACAATGGAAACCCTGAAAAATACCCCTTTAAGTATCTCTACTTTGAAAGTTGAGAGGACCACAGAAAAATTCAGATGGCTCTTTCCCAGGAGAATTTTCAAGACATCAAAGAAAATAATAGCAAGAGCTTAAATGTTGGGATTTTCCATTAAGAAGTACAGTAAGTAGGGGCTGGCATTATGGCACAGTGGTTTAAGCTGTGACCTGCAGTGTCACCATCTCATATGAGCACCATTTCAAGTGCCAGCTGCTCTACTTCCAATCCAGCTTCCTGCTAATGTGCCTAGGAAAGCCATGAACCTGGAAAGAGTTCCAGGCTCCTGGTTTTGTCCTGGACTACCCCTGGCCATTGCAGCCATTTGAGGAGTGAGCCAGTAGAAGGAAAAATCTCTCTCTTTGTCTCTCCCTCTCTCTCTGTCTCTCCCTCTCTCTGTGTAACTCTGCCTTTCAAATAAACAAAATAAATATTTTAAAGAAAAAAGCACAAGGGCTGGCATTGTGTGTAGCAGGTTAAGTCATCACCACCACTCCCATATGGGAGCCAGTTCGTGTCCTGGTTTGTGTCTTAACTATTACAGTTCTGATCCAGCTCCCTGCTAATGACTTGGGAAAAGCAGTGGAAGGTGGCCCAAGTGCTTGGCCCTGCACCAACATGGCAGACCCAGAAGAAGTTCAAGGCTCTTGGCTTTAGCCTGGACCAATGCTGGTCATCACAGCCATCTAGGGAGTGAACCAGAGATTTCTGTCTTTCCCTCTCTCTCTGTAATAACTCTTTCAAAAATCAATCTATCAAACAAGCTTTTTTTCTTAAAGTATAGCAAGTAGCAAATTGTTACACTTTAAAAAGTTTGTACTTTGGCTGCCAGTGCCATAATCTTGCTTACCAACTGAGCTCAGTGGAAGAGAATCATCTTCAAAGGTTGAATTGGAAATCAGTACACAGGAACCAAGACTACAGTCAGAGAAGATGTTGAGGACCTGTTGGTACTTACAGTTCACCATTTCCAAAGCAATTAGATTGGGAGGTGCTAGGCAAACCATCAAAGCATTGGTTAGAAGGAGCATCCACACTTTGTGAAAGATTAAAACAAACACACATGAAATAAGTAACTCTACTGCCTGCTCTTTGCAAATCTACCCACCTTACCAGTGGTAGGCTAACTGAAAGTCCTATGGCTTTACTTTTCATGATTCAAAAGTAATTCACACTAAAGTGGAAACTACTAAAAATGCTTTCACCTGTTGCCTGTCTTATGGACACATCTGGTGAAAATGGGAAAGAAATCCAGAAACCTGAAGCAAAGACATAACATTCTCACTGCATTTTACATAAATGCATAGGATGAGACCACAGCAGGCAAGAGAGGCCCTGAGAAATTGGCCGCTCCAGGTGCCTCACCTTGGGCCAGGTATAAGGAACTTGCTGGTGTTCCAACCTGGATGTGCAGGCTCATCAGTCCGGTTGTTTCTCATTGGCTGGATCATTGTTTTTTCTTGGGAAGAAGACTTGTGTTGGGACAGAGTGGTCTCTGGCACCATAGGACTGAGATGCATGGCCCCACATCTGCATAGACTATGCCCTAAAATTACCTGGGACATTGTAGGGCATGCTAGCTTCTGGCAGCACTCAGAGAAAGAGAGAGAGGGAGATAACAAATTTTTCCAAAGATGGCTGTATTCTATGCAGTACTACACAATGGTAGATGGGAGAGGCCAATCTAAAGTCATAGTTTGGCCTGAAAGACCTGTATGCGTGGGACATAAGAAAGCCACTTTGTGTGGGCTTAGTACTCTTAGTCATTTTGTTTCTAACAATAACAGAAAATAAACTCAAAGGATTAGTATAGAGATCATGTGAAGTGTAATTAAGTTCTCTAAGTTTAAAAACAGTTGGATGTGTCCAATTTCTTTTTTTTTTAATATTTTATTTATTTATTTGAAAATGAGAGTTTCAGAGAGGCAGCAAGAGAGAGAGCTTCACTGATCTGAAGCCAGGAACCAGGAGCTTCCTCCAGGTCTCCCATTTGAGTACAGGGGCCCAAGGACTTGGGCCACCCTCTACTGCTTTCCCAGACCATAACAGAGAGCTGGATCAGAAGTATAGTAGCTGGGATTCAAACCAGCACCTATATGGGATGGTGGCGCTGTAGGAGGTGGCTTTACCTGCTATGCCACAGTGCAGGCCCCATGTCCATTTTCTTCTTGGAAAAATTCAACCTACAGACCTGTTGGCAAAAATCTGAAGCTAATTCTATGCAGATAACCCCAATTATTGCCTGTCTTTTCCCTCCTTTTTTGTCTTTCTTTTTCTTTTATATTCCTTTTTCTTGTTCAGATAGATTCTATTAGTGTCTTGAATAACCAGCACCTATCAAATAATTATTGTGGTGGAGGATTCAGAATTTTTTGAAAAAGCAGCCAAAATAATTCATTTATTGCAGGAAGACATAATTTGAAATGTTATGGGGGAAAAAGTGTCAGCAATCTTATGTTGCCTGAAGCTTGAGTGGTTTAAAGCAGGGAAATGTTGTCATGGCAGCATTCAAGTAGGACTGGGTTTCTCCTTCTAACAACCAGACTGGATTCCAGAGAAAGAAGGAGTGGAAAGGTCTTGGCTTATAAACTCTGCTTGGGCACCATATGAGATACCCTTGCTTTGTGCTAAGGGGGCGTCCCCAATCTCTCACCCATGCATTTCTTTTTTTTTTTATCTTTTATTTAATGAATATAAATTTCCAAAGTACGACTCATGTCACCCATGCATTTCTTCATGTCCTAACCACAAGAAAGCAGAGCTCTGCTCAGCAGTGTTCCCCTACTCCTCCCACTAAGCAGCCAGCCCTCCCAGTGGTGAAAGAGAAGGCAGTACAGGGAGACCTCCAGGAAGATAAAGACTATCTTTTCTATTTGCAGTCTTGGCATGGACTCTGGTTAGCTGCCCATGTACCAATGCTGCCATTAAAATATTAAGACAATATTAAGCAGCTGAAATGTTCAGTCAACACCAATTCTGTTCTATCTATCTCTGCTTCTAAGAAGAAAGAGTGAGGAAGAGGAAAAGAGCAAGGTAGATGTTCACAAAACTTCCTGGGAGCCAGTGCTGTGGCATAGTAGGCTAAGCCTCTACCTCTGGCCCCAACAACCCACATGGACCCTGATTTCATGTCCTGGCTGCTCCTCTTCTGATCCAGCTCTCTGCTAGTTGCCTGGGAAAGCAGCAGAGGAGGGCCCAAGTGCCTGGGTTCCAGCACCCTCATGGGAGGCCTGGCAGAAGCTCCTGGCTCCTGGCTTCTAATTGGCACAATCCTTCCTGACATCCTTTGTCTTGTGTGGCCACCATGTGCCAAGAAAAAGATAAATAAGACCCAGCATTTCTAGAGTAATGTAACATGTGATAAGCTGGATTCTCTCACAATACATTGACCATGTTCCTGAGAACAGAGGGCATGACCACGCCTAACATTGGGCTCAGTGCACCGCGAGTGTTCTAGAATTGTGTATCTCCATTCAAAATCCAAAGGGCTAGGGTCTGTTGTGTTCTATTGAGGGAAAGTGGTTTCTGTGGAAGTGGGTGGTGGTGATTAATTTTATGTGTCATCTTGAGCGGGCCAGAAAGTGCCCAGGTTAAACATTGCTTGGGGATGTGTCTGAGAATGCCTGAAGGTGAAATCAGCACATGAAATCAGGGAATGAAGTAAAGCAGAGGGCACACTCCAAAGTCGGTAAGCCTCATGAAACCCACTGAAAGCCTAAACAGAACAGGGAGGCAGAAGCAGGACAAGTTTGGTCCCTTTTTTCTGCTTCACTGCTTGAGTCCAGACATCTCATTTCATCTTTTTCTGCCTTCAGATGAGGATTTACACCATGGTTCCCTTTGTTCTCAGGCCTTTGGACTTGGACTCAACTTCACCACCGGTTTTCCTGAGTCTTCACGTCATACATAGTTGATCGTAATACTTCCCAGTCTCCGTGATCACATGAGCAATATGGATATTCCCTATGGTAAACTGATCTAGCCACGTTTATCTGTCTGTCTGTCTATCTATCTATCTATCTATCTATCTATCTCAAACTATCTTGATCTCTATCTGTATCTATATGTACCACACGAGCAATATGGATATTGTTAATGGTAAATTGATCTAGCCACATTTACCTCTCTATATCTATATCTCTATCTCTCTATGTATCTATCTATCCATCATCTATCTACCTATTTAGTCTCTCTCACTCCCTCTCACTCTCTCTCCAGAAGCATGTGTCTGTCATCTAGCTAGCTAGTTAGCTTCTTTCTAACTATTTAGTCTTTCCTTCTACCAAATGTGTCTACCTATCTATCCCATTAGAAAACTATTGAAAGCTATTTGTCCTATGGGTGGAATAAGATTTGAAAGTTGGAGAGCAGCTGAAGATAGAAGGACAAAGAAGAGTAGGCAAGTCTTGTAGTAGAGACTTCCAGTTATTATTCAATGTCTACCATTCCCACTTTTAAAGACAAAATTTCTGTTTGGGCATGGGCACTAAATGTTACATTTCCCGGCATCCCTCACAGTTTAACACAGCTGGGATTGATGAGGTGTGCATTAAAATGTTGTGTGGGACTTTCAGGAAGTTTTCTTGAAAGGCATAGATTGCCGAGAAGAGTCCTTTTTTGCATTTCTGCTTTTCCTCTTTCTCTTTCTTTCCTTAATGCTGTGTTAGCTGGAGCCCAGAAGCTATTTTGGACCTTGTGAACTGAAGTCCTACCTGCCCTGAAAATGTCAAGTGGAAAGATCAGAATATGGGTCCCAGCCCGTACTGCCCATCTGCCAAGGCTTGTGACAGAGAACTAGACTCTTACCTTACTTGAACAACTGTTATTTTGTGGTGTTCTGTTGGGTGTGGCCCAACCTAATTTTAACTAACCAAGAAGTCTATTCTTTGACCCCCCAAGTAGATGTCAATGATGGCTTACCATTTACAGTCACTGACATGAAGATTGCAGACAACTTTTATGTTACAAAATGAGTAAGGGCAACTTTGCTTTAGGATTTAGCTGATAGAACTACTTATTTTTTTTAGTCATGCTCTTTGTGGTTTACCATTCAGATTTCCAAGAAAGGGAACTTAACCTGCTTTCTATGCACCTGTGATTTCCTCAGACCTCAAGAACACCAAAAAGGGGAACAGCACCCCCTTTCAATTCCTCCCTCAATAGCTCTGCAAGTCCCAAGAGGAGGGTCACATGAGTGCTCTGATGTCGCTTTCTTGCCTAATGACATTTCCCTTTCTTGCATTTTGACTATTTGGAAGCTGCCTAAGCAGGAGCAACTTCTGTCCCTGGTTATGTGTGTAGCCCAGGCTGCACCCCTAGACATCAATTCCCCAGGCTCCAGTTACCACTGTCTGGACACCAGCCACCACTGTCTGGACACCAGCCACACCTAGGATGTCTTGCTGCTTTCTGTGTCTTAAGTAGCTATATAGTAATTTTCTTGAAAGAATTCTTTAAATATTTATTTGCTTTTCCATCACAGACACTTTTCCCCAGAACCTAAGCTGCATTGAAAGGCCCCAAGACAGCAGTTTCTGTCTTATTGTTCTTTGCATCTCCAGCATTGAGCATAGAGTTTGACACCTAGAAAATGCCGATCCATTTTTGTTTTAATGAATGACAGTTCCAGTCTAACCTGAACAATCATCCTGGCACCAAACTGGTGTGCCCCGGCTTTCATCCTTCAGGTCTTTCCCAGACTCTCTTCTTTACCCCTGATTACCAAGGATTTATCTCAGGTTCTCACATTGTAGCTTCTCACCACATACAGCACTGAACATCTCAGAAGGGCTGGGAGAGATGAGAAGTCCTCAACCCACATGACCTTATACACTCCCTCATCCCACATCTCCATGCTTCCCCACCTGAAAGGAACAGCATTTAGCTTTGAAAAGCCAAGCCTAAAACATATAGAATCTTCTACTTCCACCATGTCTTTATCCCTTTGAGTATACTTGCACCATTCCTCTCCTGACTGAGACCAGGAAGAGGCACAGTAAAATATTAGCATCACGACACTCATTTGGGATCTATGGGATCTAGCAGAGATAGAAAAAGAAGACAGCTCTTAAGGGCTCGAGCTAGACTTTCTAATGCCACAACTTTCAGTTGATGCTGTGGAGCCTTCTGTCCCTTAGAGCCCCTTCGCTGGAGAGGTCAAGGCTCCTGAACCTGCACACAGGATGAGGAGGGAATTCCACCTGCCAGCCTCCTTGTCTGAAGAGTCCCTGTTCTGTCCACAATAGAACGGGCAGCAGTGTCAGAAAGCTGTTGAAAGTTCTCCCTAGGGAAGGTGAGAGGCAGTGGGTTGCTGAGCAGTAGATCCTTGGAGACCACAGCCATAGCTAGACAGTAGAAGCAATGGTAACAAGGGCAGTGGCTTAGCCAGAGCCCTTAACTCCACTCTCAGTGCCATTAAATCACACAGGGAAGAGGATTTGTCTTATGTCATCATTAAGTCTGGAACATTGTACAACATCTGGCATATGTTGGGAACCCAATAAATATTTGTTGGGCAAATAAATGAATGCACACCAATGAAATCACTGATCTGTAGCTTTGGCTTTAAAGAAACTCGCTGGGAACATTGCAAGCAGTTAATAAAGAGCAAAGGCAACATAGACAGCTTTGGTATTTATATAGCAGCATGCGCTTACTTACAAGGACTGAAGGATTTTGATACGACAAGGAAGAGATGTGTAATACAGCATTAACCTTTATGTTCCTGTTCAGCCAGAGATTGTAAAACTTGCTCAGGCTCAGGCACAGCCCCCGGAGACTTTCAGAAACTCTTCTATTTCCCTCCAACTTGGCTCCCTGTTCTAGGAAGTAGATTAGAAATCAAGATGCCCGGCTTCAGATCATGATTCTGATTGCGTTTTGTGCATATGGGTGAGTGAATGTGTGGGGTTGAATTTGGTCTAATGATTTAATCTCTGGACATCTCAGAGCTGTGGATAGTGAAGATAAAACTTCCTGTTCTACTGAATTAACAAGCATATGCAGTTATCAAATGGAGGAGTTCATTTGAAAAGCACTTTTAAAACCTCAAAGTCTAAAACTCTAAGGGGTGGCGTTGTAATATGGCAGGTTAAGCTGCTGTGTGGGATGCCTGCACACTGTGTTGGAGTACCTGGGATCAAGTTCTGCCTCTATTTCTGATCCAGCCTTCTGCTATTGCACACTCTGGGAGACAGCAAGCATTTGGGGCTCTGTCATCCACGTAAGAGACCAGTGTGGGGAGCAACCCGGACTGGACTGAGTTACTGGAATTAAGACTTATTCTATGCATCTGCTCTCCCACAATATGGCGCTGAGAAGGGAAACAGCTTCTACACAGCTGCCTCCAGTTCAACCAATAAACTGTAGGACCTGCTCCTGATTGGAGGAGAGCAGCGTACTCGGCGTGTGGGTAGCAGAGTTGGGATTGGTGAAGAGGACTATAAAGGAGGAGAGAGACAACATGCACCAGGAACATCTAAGGGGAACATCTGAGGGGAACATCTGAGGGAACACCTGTGCAGCCCCCGAGAGAGCTGGCCGGTGGTGTGCCGCTCCCCCGCGGAAGTGGGGAAAGTGGCCGGGGGAACCGCCCTTCCACGGAGGTGGAAGGGACGGTAGCCAACCCGGGAAGAACCAGCAGCAAACCCGGGGAGGGCCGAGCAGACGAAAGAACAGCGCAGGGTCCTGTGTCGTTCCTCCACGAAGAGGGGGAGCGACAGACCAGGATAGATTTCCTGGCTCCTGGCTTTGCCCTGGCTTCATCCTGGCCCAGCCCTGCTATTATAGGCACTTGGGGAGTGAATCAGCAGATGGAAGATATCTTTCTCTCTCTCTCTCTCTCTCTCTGTAGCTCTTTCTTTTTTTTTTTTTTTAACTTTTATTTAATGAATATAAATTTCCAAAGTACAGCTTATGGATTACAATGGCTTCCCCCCCATAATGTCCCTCCCACCCGCAACCCTCCCCTTTCCCACTCCCTCTCCGCTTCCATTCACATCAAGATTCATTTTTGATTATCTTTATATACAGAAGATCAGCTTAGCATACATTAAGTAAAGATTTCAACAGTTTGCTCCCACACAGAAACATAAAGTGAAAAATACTGTTTGAGTACTAGTTATAACATTAAATCTCAATGTACAGCACACTAAGGACAGAGATCCTACATGAGGAATAAGTGCACAGTGACTCCTGTTGTTGACTTAACAAATTGACACTCTTGTTTATGGCATCAGTAATCACCCTAGGCTCTTGTCATGAACATCATGCTGAGTGCATTAAGCCAGTCCCAAAGGGACAAATATCATATGTTCTCCCTGATCGGTGACAACTAACTGAGCACCAAAGGGGAAACTTGTTGAAGTGAAATGGACACTATGAGAAATAGTGACTTGATCAGCTCTTGTCCTGATGGTTGATGTACAATGTAATACTTTATCCATTTTAGTATTTTTTTTTTGTTCTAGTACCATTGGTTGAACTCTGTAATTAACACACAATTATTCTCAGGTGTTTAAATTTAACTGAAAAGTGATCCCTGTTAGGAATTTGGAAAACATTATGCTGAGTGAAATAAGCCAATCCCAAAGGGACAAATACCACATGTTCTCCCTGATAGGTGACAACTAAATGAGCACCAAAAAGGAAACCTGTTAAAGTGAAATGAACACTATGAGAAACAGTGACTTGATCAGCCCTCGCCCTGACTGTTGATGAACAACTTAATATGTTATCCCTCTTAGTATTTTTGTTTGTTTGTTCTACTTAATACTTTTGGTTGAATACTGTAATCAATACACAGTTATTCTTAAGTACTGAAACTTAACTGAAAAGTGATCGCTGTTAAATATGAGTGGGAATAAGAGAGGGAAGAGATGTGCAATTCGGGACATGCTCAAGCTGACTTACCTCAAACAGTAGAGTTAGAAGCATACCAGGGGATTCCAATTCAATCCCATCAAGGTGG